TTAGCTTGGCAATCAGGGTAGTGGAGCACCCGACAAAATAATTGTTAAAGGCATTTTCTACATGTAAGGGAAGTAATTCACTTTGACAGTGGAGGGTTGGAGTGGATTAGGGGAGTTTGTAATGTATTTATGACTTTCCAAAAGTTTCTGGGGTTTGATATGTTATTGTTCAGATTTTCACAGAACTATTGGGCCTTTGACAATTTTGTTTGTTTTTTGCATATATTTCACCATTGTGTATATGCACAGTGGTCGTTCATAGAGCCAGTACACTTGAACTATGACCACAATGAATCCCGAAACTGGTACATTTGAATAAGGTCAGCTGTGATTCAATTCATATGTACCCCTTTAACTGTCACCTTACGCAGCCCGGCATGCAAATTCCAAACTTGTCTGCACAGTCTAGATCTGAGAAAAGGTGTAATCTGTGCCATGGGAGGTTCTTGATGTCATTTAAAAATTTAAGATTAACATTTTTTGAAGTACCTGGTGATTTTAACCTTGGGAGAGGATTTAGTAGCCTTTATTTTGCACACGCAGTACATTAATCAATGGTCACTGAAACTGTTAGGTAGAACACATGCCTCCTGGATTCTATCAGTGGAGAGAATCCAGTCGATCAGAGTATGGTTATGGCTTTTAATGTTTTTGCGAGATGGCGAGGAGATTAATTGCGTTAGCTGCAAAGTCTTCAACAGAGAGCAAGAACTATTGTTTTTAGGATTCAGCCAATCAATATTAAAATCTCCAAAGACCAATAGTTCACTTTTTGATTGTTGAGCTATGGTTTCACTAAGGAGATGGGTAATGTGAACACCATTCTTGCAGTGCATCGATTTTTGGTAGTAAGCTGCGGATAATACAGTGCACAAAGCACCAACTCCCTTGGTAAACTCCTAGGATTAGATAATTATTTGCAAAGATGAATTTATGTATCATAACATTTGTTTTTCATCTTGTTCATACATAAAGTGATTCATTCATTCATTCATAATGCAGATGAATTAATTAATTGCCAGAACATCATATGAATTCAGAATTCAGAGAAAATGCTATCAAGTGGAGAGAAAAACTGAACTCATATTTTAGGCAAATTTAGTGAGGCTTGAGGAAAGAGAGCATTAATCATATACTCTTTGTATACATTTGTTTTTATATGTTTTTAACAACATTGAAAAAAGGACAATACTTTTAATGGAATGCATGATGTAAGATGAGGTTGACTTTATATTATAAAAATTTAATTTTTAGCTGACCCAGCAAACCTTATGAGGCCTTCCATCCAACAAGCCAACACAAAAAAAAGAGAACCTTAATTTTCACCTCACCCAATTAATCTTATATACAGCTTGGATAAAGATAGTCCAAATAAGTTATTCTAACTATTGTTACCATATTATTATTTTTACTATAACAATGGTACCAATGTTAGAATTAAGGTGGTTTAATCTGAATTGCGATTTGGCTTATTTTGGGACAATCAGCCATTCAGCCAAATTCCATATCCCCCATGTACCATGCGAACATAAAACTGAGCAAATTCCATGGTGATGCCTTTACATACCTAGATGCTTCAGATTCATGGGATCAGCATATGACACCAAACAAGGAGGGACAGAATGTAAAGGAAGCTTCTTTTTTTTTTTTTGGGGTGGGGGGTGGGACAATTAGAAGCAAAGTTTGCCATGATTGATGTTTGCAATTCTTGTCCAAACAAGAAGTGGAAAAAAAGATGATTGATGGTATGGGGACAGATACTAAATATTGATTTTATTCACAGATCAAGTGAGAAGTGACCAACAGATGGAAAAAATGAGAAGCAGTAGCAAATCTATATATCTCCAAGCAGGATTGTTTTAGACACCCTGACTGCAGCTATTGAGGAAGATTCCGATCAGCATTTAGGCATTGCATGCATTTACTATTGCCTGTGTGGGGGATATCCTGTGTTATTAATCCTTGTGTAAGACTGCTTAGGCTCAGGTTATTACTGTGTCTCCCTAGCTTCTGCCACCTACTCCAAATTTAAGTGGAAGATAGATAACACGAGTCATTTATCCTAGTGTGTGAAACTGTTTGACTTACTGCTGTCTAGCTACTGCCATGTACTGCACAGTGCCCTGTAGATAGATGATAGATTATTATTATTATTAGAGTGTAGGATGGAGTCTCCTTCTGTTTGCTCTCTATAATGCCTCTTGTGACTCTTGGCAAACCTTTATTGTTTTTCATTTCAAAACCACCTGTTTAATAATAGTATAGCTTATCCTAGTGTGAGACTGGTGGTAGGGGTTGTTATTGGCTACTTCCATTTACACCATGTTTTATTCTCAGATTTAGAGTTTCACTTTTTTTTTTATATATATATTTTTAGAAAGAAAATACTTTTTTGGTAGTGTGTTCGGTGAAAAATAAAAACGTTGGATATAAACAAAGTTCATCTTGCCTAGTTACTGCAAGTGCCACTTACATCACGTTGATTTAATTGATTTCAAGTTTGAGATGTGTTTTCTTTAACTGTTTGTAGAAAGAAAATTCCTTCACCTAAATTTTTTAAATGTCTTTATTTTTATTAAAAAAATTCATATATCATGCACTTACATATAAACATTCTTTATACAGAAATTCAATTAAATTAATAGATGTTATACCCTAAATATACAGGGTCAATAAAGGGAATTGTATTTAAGTAGAGTTGCGCGAACCTGGACTTTAAAGTTCGGGTTCGTACCGAACATTAAAATTTTGGGACCCTGGACATATCACTGTATGTTCGGGTTGGAGTTCAGTGTTCGGCGATCTAATGGCGCATTTTCAAAGGCTGCAGGGCAGCCAATCAACAAGCGTTTGACTCGTGTGTCCGTAGAAGCCATCACAGCCATGCCTACTAATGGCATGGCTGTGATTGGCCAGTGCAGCATGTGACCCAGCCTCTTTATATAAGCTGGAGTCACATAGCGCCGCACACACATGAGGTCTTATTAGTGTAGGGAGAGGATGCTGTCAATGATAGGGACAGCTTAGGAAAGAATTCTGCAAACTAGTACATTAGTGGGGTGCAAATCATATCTGAGAGTCAAATAGAAGCTTCAAATACCGAGGTTACATCAGAGTTTTAAAAAGTCAATTTTATTTGGTACTAAATAATACATTAGTGGGATAGTACATTAGTGGGGTGCACTTCATATCTGAGAGTCAAATAGAAGCGTAAAATACTGCTGTCACATTGCAGTTTTAAAACTTAAAATAATTTGGGTGCTAAACTGCTAAATAGTATTTTAGTGGTGTGCACTTCATATCTGAGAGTCAAATCGAAGCATCTAATAGTTTGCTTACAGCGCAGTTGTAAAAATTCTAATTTTCTGGGTGCTAATCTGCTAAATAGTACATTTTGGGGGGGTGCACTTCATATCTGAGAGTCAAATAGAAGCATCTAATAGTGTGCTTACAGCGCAGTAGTAATAATTCACATATTCTGGGTGCTAATCTGCTAAATAGTACATTTTGTGGCCTGCTCTTCATATCTGAGAGTCAAATAGAAGCGTCTGATAGTGTGCTTACTGCGCAGTTGTAAACATTCTAATTGTTTTGCTGCTAATCTGCTAAATAGTACATTTGCAGCCTGTGGTGCACTTCATATCTGAGAGTCAAATAGAAACGTCAAATAGTGTGCTTATTTGCAATTGTAAACATTCTAATTGTTTTGCTGCTAATCTGCTGTTTACATTGGAGTTTTAAAAAGTCAATTTTTTTTGGTGCTAAATAGTATATTTGGGGTGTTCACTTCATATCTGAGAGTCAAATCGAAGCGTAACTTTGATTCGAATTTACTACATTGGTCACTTGTAATATTGTTTCACACCTGAAACACTTGTTACACAGATCTAAGTGATAGAAAACAGATTGATATTTTCTACCCTAGAAACTACCAGATAACAAGCTGCTATATTTAAACTAGTTATCAACAATATTGTAATTCTGGGGCAATACCCTCACAAGTCAAACTGAGAGGTCAGTTTATAGGGAAAACTGTTGCCTGGATACAATTCTAAAACAATTTCCATATGTCCTTTGCAGACTTTACATGCTGGAAAACCACAGGTGCCAACTGCTGTGGCTTTCTGCAGTGTGCATACCGGCAAGGAGGGCAGGGTTGAGGAGTGGGTGGAAGATGATGTGGAGGATGATGAGGTCCTAGATCCCACGTGGAATCAAGGTCATGCAAGTGACGTGTGCAGTTTGGAGGAAGAGGCGCTGGTCGCACAGAGGCACCAGCACAGCATAAGAAGGAGCAGGGTGCAAAAGCGGAGCGGCCGTCCCCTAGCGTTCGTTGGTATGTATTAGCTCGAGAATTACCAGTTATCTAAGTAATACATGTAGCGATCAAAGGATCCATAATAGAGTTGAGCGAATCCAAACTGCAAAGTTCGGGTTCATACCAGATTTAACGATCCATTCGTAGTTTCACAGTGAGGTGGGCAGTCTGGTGACCAGGACCCAGACACTGTCTGGGCGGAGGTCGGACAACCGGGACCCAGTATGCCTGATGCTGAAGTTAGGAGTCACAGTGTGGAATGGATTAGCAGGGTCTGGTGCAGGGTAACCGCACGCCCCCTGGTGTTGAGCACCAGCGTTTGTGCGGCCACATACCAGGACCCTGATGCAGCTTCAGTAAAAAGAGTACTGGATACCAGAAGCCATCACCAGACTAATTCTTGGAACAGGATGTGACATTCAATGTAGCAGCTGTATGCGCTTTTGGCGTTGTCACCCTGCTGCTGCTCGCCTGTCTGCGCTGCAGCGTAACTTCGGCTGTCCCGCTCACCGCCACATGAGACTGTGCGAGCAGCAGCGGGCGATAGGGGAGTTTCAGCTGCAGCATGCATGGGTCAGTGGCTCTGCACCAGACTTCCCTCCAATTGATGAGAGTTAAAGGATTTCAAGTGGACTCATTACAATTACAGGGCCTCTAAAGAGTCCTGTATTGTTATTTGTCGTCACTACCTTCCCGTGCCGGGAGTGTGTCATTTGTGCGCCTGCTACCTTCCTTGCATGTGGTAGCCGTTTCTCAGGGTTCCTGTATGGAATGGAACCCTGATTCCCCGTTACCCCTGGTCACCATGGTAGGCCCAGAAACTGGCATCGAAAGATGATATAGATGACATCCGCATGCAAAGTGGCTGCCACGGGGATGTGTGATTGGCCCGAGGTTCTCTAGAGTCAACAAAGTGCCTGTGCAACTATAATGTCAATAGGTACTCTGCGGAACAGAGTTGTCTTTTTTTATATGTCTCAATATTTTGGGGGTTACCCCAATTAAAAAAAAATAAATAAATATATATATATATATATAAAAAAAAAAATCGAAAATCCCCTGCACTCACGTCCAAAGTCCCTCCGCCGGGAGCAAACACCAGGGCTCCACGATACACAGACTCCAAAGTGGCAACGGCTGCTCTCCGGTTTTAAAAAAGAAGTTTTTATTGAATCATAATAAAAGCAATGACCAACGTTTCAGTCCCAGCTCGGGACTTTCCTCAGGGTCCAAAAAACAGAATTGTTGTTGTTTTTTGGACCCTGAGGAAAGTCCCGAGCTGGGACTGAAACGTTGGTCATTGCTTTTATTATGATTCAATAAAAACTTCTTTTTTAAAACCGGAGAGCAGCCGTTGCCACTTTGGAGTCTATATATATATATATATATATATATATATATATAAAACAGTGTTGTTAAGACACCCCTGGTGTCTTTAAGAGAAACCGCCATTTAGTTTACCTACCCTTTCGCAATATCAGTAATCCATTCGCATCAATTGTAATACACGAACCATAACCAGGGGAAGCGGTAATCTCCCGACCGGGATCCATGAAAGGCTCCAAACTCCCGAACGGAAATCCACGAACTGCTGCTAGCCGCCGAACAACGATATCCACCAAGCGGCTTTCGGTTCCCATCAGCAGTCTCTAAGCGCAAAGAAGAAATCCCCCCAATAACGAGACAGAAGCTCCGCATTGAGGGTCAAACAGGATCTGGCTTTACTGTGGGCTACCTGCCCGTATTTATGCAGGTCTCCCACTTGGTGGACACTCCCCTAGGGAACCAAATGGGAGACTGGAATTACAGATGGACATGGGGACATTTCAGACGTACAGTCACAAGCTTTTCCCACAATGCAGTATGGTTTCCTCCCCTCTGCCCTGGAGATAATTGAGAAGTAATTCAATTATCTCCAGGAGAAAGGCAAATCGCCATCTTAAATAAAATACCAGAAAATACATAAAAATACATAACTCTATAATAACCGAACATTTCACATTCACATCAAATATCCCCAGATAGCCTGGATCTGAGTGCATATTATTGGCAAATAGCGCTCAGATCCCACACACATAGTTCAATCGCCATGGAGATTTCCTTTTATACTGAGAAAAATGCCTGCAATTGTATTGCCGGGTTTTACTGCAATACCGGCATAGCCAGGCAGCCTCAAATACGGACTGTGCCAGTAAAATACCAGTCAGGTGGTAAACCTAAGAGCAGTGTCTTTTTTTTTTTTTTAAATGGGCCTATTCCATGGGCCTGGGCCTGGGCCTGGAGCTGCAGCTCCATCAGCCCCTATGTTAATCCAGCTCTGGCTATATTAGCCAAGTTAATGACAACAACCCTTATATAACTCCTAAAATCAACACCCACTAGGAATGTTTAACCCCTTAAATCCAGAGGGCGTACTATTACACCCTGCAGGAGCTGGCTCTAAATGCCGGCGGTCGTAATAGTATGCCCTCGCTATAATGGCCGCCCACGTGGCCGGCGCTAATCGCCCGCTGCAGATCGCGGTCGGGGGGATGCCTGGCCCCCAACGCAACCCCCCCTGTGGCCGGTGACCACGATCTGCAGTCCCCCTTGGGTCAGTGACCGCGATCTGTCACTGCAATCACTGACCCCAGGGGGACTCCCTGGGGGCAAGGTATGTCCCCCAACCGCGATCTGCACAGAGGAAAGCCACCGGCCACGTGTGTCAGCCGATTTGAAATCAGCTGACACACTGTAAATACTGATCACAGTGACAGCCTGTCACTGTGATGAGAGACTGCAGATCGCGGTCACCGGCGGGTGGCATCCTCCCGACCACGATCTGCAGTGGGCAATTAGCGCTGGCCACGTGGGCGGCCATTATAGCGAGTGCGTACTATTACACCCGCCGGTGTTTAGAGCCAGCTCCTGCTGATACATGTAACAGGCACCATGATCCCCCTGCAGATCGGTAGGGGGAGTGCTTGTACCACCCAGGCACTCCCCCCTGTGGTCAATTACCCAATCTGCAGCAAGTGATCACAGTGACAGCCAGTCACTGTGATCACTATTACTATGTGTCAGCCAATGACCTCAGATCACTGGCTAACACATTGTCTCTGCCCCTCTCCTCACCTCACTTCGATTTAAGAGAGGGACGCAGAGACATCGTTGGTTTTACAGCTCCTGTGAAAAGAAAAAGTTTTATTACTTTATAAAAGTTGTAAAAAATGTATTTTATTTAACCCTTTCAGTGCTGATCACAGCTTATTACTGTCATCAGCTGACTAGGGCATCTAGTACTTTTGTACTTTATTTAAAAAAAATATTTGGGTCAAAAAAAATAATTTCTCTTTTTTTTTACCCTTTGTGTCAGTTGCAGCAACCCAAATCTACCCTTTCCCCGCTGCCGTGATCACTGTACGGTACAGTATATCTGCTGTACGGTGCTATATCAGTGATCACTGTGATCAGAGGGCTCTCTGATCAGGCTGACCTTTTTTTTTTAGGGTTATTTTTTTCATAACTTAAAAATAACCCTTTCAGTACTGATCGCAGCTGCCTATACTGAGATCAGTACATTTATTTTATTTTTGAGGGTGGGTAGTGGGTGTTAGGCAGGTAGTTAATTAATTAGCCCCTTAGTTAGCCCCTTTCACTTAATTAATTTTTTCCCCCTAGAATGGCACGTCGCTACTCAGCAGAGGAGGCGTATGCCATTCTGGCAGGCAGTGATAGTGACACTCTGCAAGACAGTGACACTATCACTGCCTCTGACATGGAGCCTTTGAGTGAGACCTCAAGTGATGGTGCCCCACCACCACTCACAAGAGGACGCTCAGCAAGCCCAATGCCAGACGGAGACTGGGTGCCTTCAAACATGATGGCACCAGAAATACCGCCGTTCACTATTACACCTGGCATCACTGTAACAGTGGACGACTGCGAGCCAATTTGTTTTTTTTTAGCTCTTTATGTCTGATGATGTATTTGAGCTCATGGCTCAGCAAACAAATCATAATCATAATCCCATCATAATCGCAGGAATATGTGGAGACCCATGGATGTCACAGAGATGAAGGGGTTTTGGGCTTTAACCCTAGTAATGGGTATAGTTAAAAAGCCCAGTATCAGGTCCTACTGGAGCAAGCAACGCATCCTGGCTACCCCTCTTTTCCCTGAGGTTTTGCAGAGGGATCGCTATCTGCGACTGCTGCGATTCCTTCATTTTAATGACAACTCACTGTATCCCCCTAGAAATGACCCACTGTTTGACAGGCTCTATAAAATTCAGCCCTTTATCCAACTCCTGTCAGACAAATTTTCTGAAAATTATATCCCCGATAAAGATATTTCAATTGACGAGTCCCTTATGAAATTCAAAGGTCGACTGTTATTTAAGCAATACATTCCATCTAAGCGGCCTGATATGGCGTTAAATTTTATAAATTATGCGAATCTTGTACTGGTTACACATGGGCGTTTCGCATTTACCAGGGGAAGGATAGCCATCTTGACCTACCAGGATGCCCTGATTCTGTGGGTACAATTTGAAAGATTGTTTGGGATCTAATACTTCCGTTGTTAAATAAGGGATATAGGCTATGGGTTGACAATTATTACACCAGTATACAGTTATTTAAAAATGTATATTACTTTGAAACCCTAGCCTGTTGCACAGTGAGGAAGAATCGCAGGGTTCCCCCCAAACCCTGGCAAGAGGCAGAAGTAGTAGAGGTTCCTCTTCAGCCCTCCGCCAGGATGAGTTGCTTGCCCTTCGTTTCACAGATAGGAAGGATGTATACATGCTGTCTACAATGCATGACGAAAGTACAGTGCCAGTGTCTGTGAGAGGTAGCACTGAGCATCTGGAAAAGCCGAAGTGCATTATAAACTACAGCAAGTTTATGGGGGGAGTAGACTTGGCTGACCAATGCATACAGCCCTATCTAGTGAACCGGAAAACTAGGACCTGGTACAAGAAAATTGCAATCTACGTGACCCAGATTGCAATTTTCAATGCCTATGTCCTCTATAAAGAGGTCATAGGTAAGCCCTGCCCTTTCCTAGACTTAACTCTAAGCCTTTTGTCCCATTTATTATTTACCCAGACCCCAATCCCATTTTGGGATCAGAAGATCTCCAAAGACTTTGTGGCAAACACTTCCCTTCCTGAATCCCTGCCACCACCAGTAAAAGAAATTCCTCCAAAAAGTGCCGTGTTTGGCACAAGAAAGGAGTCCGAAAGGACTCTAGTTATTATTGCCCAACCTGCCCATCTCAACCCGGCCTCTGCATAACAGACTGTTTCAAAGTCTACCATACAGAGCTGAACTTTTAAATCACTCTGTATGGCACTTTGGCAGTTTGTTTGCTTGATTCCCCTGGATTACTTACCGCGGCTTGTCCTGACTACGATTTGTTAGCGGCCTGTACCGACCCATTGGCTTGTTTTACCGACTACTCTAACTTCTGGATTCCCCTGACTTTGGCCTGTCCCTGTTTACGCTAGCCATTCTAAAGTGGCCACACCAAACAACTCAAAATACTACAATTGTAGTATTTGAAATGTGCCTTCACAAAAAAAAGCAAAAAACTAATCACAGGGTTAATGCTGCGATTAGCAATGAAAGGATTAATAAAATCACAATTTATTTTTTTTCTTAACTTCTCAGCTTTTCACACAGTAACTCTCTATGTGAGATCAAAAATCTCTCTGCCTCTCTCTGCCTCCAGATAAAAGTGTATGTGGGGGTACTGTTCTATTCCTGTGATATAATAAAAACCTTGAAACATTGTACATGTGGGTACTGTTCTATTCAGAAGACCGTGTTAAATCAAAATACTGAGGTTTTAGCGCACTAACTAATACCAGGATTATGACATTTCTAATGAAAATGCAATTTATGTGATTAAAAAGACAAAACTAAAAGTAGATATCGCTACATAGGCCCAGAATTTCTGTTAAAATGGCTAGACCAAACATCTCAAGGTCTGCATTTTGTTGTACTCTGGGTTGCCTACTTTTGACAATGGTATGCCATAATGGTGGAAATGTTATTATCCAGGCTGCCATGTTCTCTGA